TATAGTTATAAATAAATATATATATAAATTGTGAATATTAATTATGCAGAAAATAAAAACTAGATAAAGATAAAAAAATCCTAGTCTAAAAATAAGCTTTTTTTTTTAAATTTAAAATGTAAACTTGATATAGATTTATGAGCCAATTAGATCTTTAATTTATAGCAATACACAGTATATTAATAATACTAAAAACAAACAAAAGCAACATTATAATATTTAATTCTTTAATCAAATATTAAAAAATAAATATATCTGATAAGATAGAATTGACTCATTAAATGTGCCTATATATTACATTTTTTTTCTAATTTAAACTCTGATGAGTAATAAATATTACAAATATAAAAACAAAAGGTCTTACCTGAGCCCAATTATACATATTATTATGAGTAATAGATGGATTTACTTTTGATAACAGAAAACGAGCCTAAAAATAATATGATTTGATATTAATACGAGTATGAATAAATAAACGAAAATGTAATTTGAAAAAAATAAAAATAAAAAGACTAATTTACCTGCGAACCTCCCTGATCACAATCAATATATCTTGGCATTGGAAAACGGCTTTGTAAGATTTCTTGTGCGTCGCTTACTGGTGCTTGAAGAAGTTGGCGGAAATTTTCATGTTCAGGAGAATTGTGATATCCCATTTTTCTCCACTGAGCTATATTCTAACAATAGAAAAAATAATATAAATCAACATTCAATATACTAATTTTAAAAAATTTCAATAGAAAACATCATATATTATAAAATATTTTTATCATTTAGTTTTTTACATTTTATGGATAAGTTGTATACTTTTTTTTAATGTTGACTATTCCTATTTATTAGTTCAAAAACACTTAAATAATTACTCTACATTAACCAATTTAACACTTATTGTGCAGATATTATTAAATTATGATAATGTTACTGTTTTAGTAAAATATATGAAATTATTTGAATTAGAGCATCTTTACTACATTGAAACATGGATGCTGTAATAAACATAATTAGTATGACTTTAATTCGAATATCGTTCCTCTGAATTTTCACTCAGTTATTTTATTATAATTAATATGTTACTGTTGTATTATTTAATTCAACTAACTCTTATGAAATTTTACAAAGTGTATGTTATTTCAAACCTGGCAACTGCACAATTTAATCTGTTATATCATTGACAACAAATAATAATTATTATATCTATAAATTTTCCAACATATTATTTTAAAAATATTAAGTAAATCAGATTATTATTTAATATGTACTGAATTTAATTTGATTTTTTTTATTTCATAACATACTACAGGTTGTATATTAGTGAATTCAATTTATTAATAAATAATCTACTTTCTATTATCTTTTTTTTTTTTATCTGTTTTTGCTATCAAATGTTTAACTAAACTTCATCAAATGCTCAGAATTACAATTAACAAAATAATAATTAAGTGAAAATAAGAATTTTGGAGTAAACTATTTTACTCTATAAAGTATAAAAGAATCATTTCTAAGTAATTCTGATTAAATAAAATAAAAAGTTAAACTTAGCAATGACATTTTCATTCTCAATATAATTGAGTAGATTCTTTGCAAAAATTTTTATCATATGAAATATAGTTTCTTGAATTTTTAGGTAATGCTAAATAGATTTTATACTGTATACAGAACTACTGTATATGACTTATTCACTACATAAATTTTTAATTTTTTCAGTTCTATTTAATATAACTATTAACTCTAAGCTGGAAATGACCTGAATACAATAAGAATTTGATTTATTCTAATCAAGTTGCTTTCTCATCTCCTTTATAATTATTTTTTGTCTTCAGAAATATCATAATGAATGTTATTAAAATTTATGTATATTAAAATACAACTGAACATATGACATTATCAATTAAAATGTGTATAGCATTATTGTGGATAAAAGATAAAAGTTATCTCAATAGTTTTAGTCAGGGTTGTTCAACTGGCAGCCTGCAGGCCATATCTTGCCAAACCTTAATAGATAGTTTGTGTCATTGTTATTCAGTAATTATGACATTTTTGTTAGTATTCTCCTGTACACTAACTGACAGTCAACTTTTGTGCTCAACAACATAATAATCAAATTTGTGAAATTTTGATTTGAAAATATGTTCAATGTTTGATACTTCTTATTTATGTTGTTTATATAATAAATAAATATATATATTATTTATATTTATATAAATAATATATATATTTATATATATTAATAATAAATTATAATTTATTTATATAATAAATACTTGTTGATATTTTTATTATTGAAAACATATAGAGAGAGGAATAGATTATTAGAAGATTTATTTAAGTCAACACTATGATTTGTCACTACATTATATATAAATGAAAAACAGCATTCAGTCTTTAAGAAACTAGCATAATGCTCTGTGCTCTCATTAAAATGCTGTCTAGCTATACTGTTATTTAATTAAAAATTAAAAATGTCTTATTTTTCAATATATGCATTAAAAGTTACTTCTGTAGCTATTACTTACTTCAAAGGTTTCAATTTGCTCCAGAATTTAAAAAATTTGACAAACATATTTTTGGTCATAATGAAAAATATCAACATTTTAGAACATTCTAAAAACACATCTTTCTCAGAATTGATATGAATAATTGAGTGGCTG